ATTGCACAGCTGAAGTCTCAGTAACGTCTCCAAATGCTGAAACCAGTGTTACTGGTGCTTTTATTATCCAATTCGCAACAATCATCATGATTTGTTTCAGTCTCAATCGCGATCGAGCGAAGAAAGTACCCGTTCGAGCAGACTTCTTTCTCCAACGTGAAGAAAATCGAAATACAATGTCATCACGATACTCTGAACACGGTAATGCAGTCATTTGATTACCACAGTCACAAATAAAGGAACTTCTTAGTAGTTCCATCTGTTGAAGTTGCTCAATAATCACGTCATCTTTAAAATCCGCTGTAAACTGGTCGTACGTGAGCATCAGGTACTGAAATCGGCGCTGTGACCTCGAAATCCCTTAAACGCTTCTGATTGTCCCGTCTATAAATTAGAGTATTGCCCTTATTTTTACCCAGAGAAAGGTTGTTTCTTCGTAGATTTGACGAATATCAAGTTTAATTTTACCACATATTAGAGAGTAAATCCCCTTCAATTTGTTTTCTCACTATTCATTGATCACTGGGTGGTGATCAATGTCATGTATGTCGGGTCCTCCTTAGTGCAGATCGAATCTTATCGACCAAGTTGCAATGTGGCCACCAGTCTAGGTGACTCGACATTGCGTGCACTATGTTGAGACTAGTGTCAATATTACAACTCGCTCAATAGAATCTGATTGCTTTTAAAGGACTAGACAAACTAGATAATGGTTACCACTCAGTTATCAATTCATCAAAAACACGACACTGCTAAAATTCATGTTGATGATAATATGTTAGATTATCTGGAACATTCGGCAAGAAGCTCTAGAAGTGAGTTTTATTTGTTAAAATGATATGTTTTCAGTCTTCTGCGAACTGATATTCAGTGAAATTTCTGGTTATCCCATTCGATGATGCTGATTCAAATACCAAGAGAAATACGTCAACTATTATGAAACGCTGGTAAATCAGGGTTTTCTATCAATTGTACACAATTATCTAATACTGTAAACAGAACTTCCGAAAATGGTGTCATTAAGATTAGTAGGTGAATTTCAACTTGCTTGAAAGAATTTGATCAGTACGGAAAAACAACAACATACTACTCACTATATAAAAGTAAACAATCACCTACTGTAAACGTTAAGTTATGTACAGGTTGGTAGGATGATATTAACGTATTTTTCTTTTTACGGTTCAACTTAAATGCCATGTTTTTATTAGTCTTGTAATTTTGTAAAGATGCCTAATCTTTGTAATATTTAAATACAAATACATAATTAATGAACAAAATGAAAATGTTATTTAATAACTTACGATAGATACGTTTTACACTTACAATGATCAACAAAAAATCCCCAGCCATTTGATGATATTTATTATTTCTTAACATAGGAATGGTGAGATACTATTGATTAATTTTAGAGTGAGGTCATGAATAGATCAATGTTAGGTCACTATAATAAACCTGGAAACATTCGACGGCTGTTTCATCCTAGCTTGAGACTCCTCAGCAGTGCGCATCCACGGTCCCATACCAAAGGGACTCGGACCCAGAACCTTCTATTTCGCGCGCAATCACTTAACCTTAAACCTCCAACGGTGTTACCGTCTAACTTCAACCAATCTATCTAGTGCTTTTAGTTTTTCAATGATGGTCTAACATTGATCGATTCATGATATCAATCAAAAACTTAACAATCTTCATAATCTCATACTTATGATTCGTTCTAGAGAAACAACAATGCTATCTAGACATTTTATAACTTAAATAGTACAACGATTTCAACCTTGAATAATCTTTTAACTATTGATTTTATCATCAGAATGAGTTTTGTGGAGATTTTAGGAAATTTCACAGGTTGAAATCATGAGTCGACTGAAGCTAGACCACCATGGAAAACATGGAAGCACTGGACGGCCGTTTCGTCCTATTGTGGGACTCCTCAGCAGTGCGCATCCACGAACCCGCCCCCGCTGGATTCGAGCCCAGGACCTACTGGCTTCGCACGCGAGCACGTAACTATTAGACCACTGAGATGGACAGCATCCAACGGTGTTAATGTCTGACTTCAACCAATCCACGAAGTTGCGCCACCGAACGCCATTTTCTTCAGTGAGCTGATATCTCACAACAGACCTGGTTGAACTCCACTGGTGACGGCTTCTCACTAGAACTCCAGGAGGTTCTCCTGAAGTCAGTCACTCGTGCGCGAAGCCAGTAGGTCCTGGGTTCGAATCCCGCGGGTTGCGGGATCATGGATGCGCACTGCTGAGGAGTCCCACAATAGGACGAAACGGCCGTCCAGTGCTTCCAGGTTTTCAATGGTGGTCTAGCTTCAACTGACTCATGATTTCAGCCTGTGAAATTTCCTAAAATCTCCACAAAACTCATTCTGATAATTGATTTTATAACATGTCTAGACTGATATACAAAAATGAAAACAGTTTTCATCAAAATCTATGAATAATAATATTCGATCAATCAACTAGGTAGTTGATTTTTTCTTCTTAGTTCAATAGTAAAAATGTTAATTAATAAACAGCTGTTATAATTGATTTTATTAAGTAATTAAAAGTATGCAACAATTGATGCAATAAATATAGATTTTGTGCTAACCGGCACTTACCGTTAAGATCTAATTTACGGTGTTATGAAAATCAATATTGATTAATTGATAGAATTTGATTGGAAACAAAAGTAAGATAATTTTCCATTGACTACTATTAATGGTAAATTATGAAATTGAATGAAACGACTTGAAATTGTTAGTAAAATATTATAACTAAGGTTAAATTCACTTGGTATTGTTTGTTTAAATCTTTCCGTTGATGTTTAAGACAGCGATGGATCAGTTTCTTATTGGTATTTGTGCATCCTGTAAAGATTGTCTAGATATTGCTTCAATTCACAAGCATTCTAAACAAAGATAGATAACGGTTAGAAGTGGAATGGAAAACGCGCGTTTCGTGTTATTTGAGACTCATCAGCTGGATGTATCTGTATCTCAGAGTTGAAATTCACTCTGGAACTCGAATTCAGTCCTGAACATCAATAGGAAGATTCAAGTAGGCAATAACAAGTGAATTTAAATTTCAACCCATTGCACAAGCGAGTGGCTATCAGAAATCAGCAGCTAAGTGGATAACGTGATGGCGTTTCGAGCGAACTGTACTGGGTTTGAGTACCAGAGTGAACATCAACTCTGAGATATGTGTACATCCGGCTGATGAGTCCCGAATAGGACAAAACGCGCATCCTGGATTCCACTACTAGCCACTATCCATCTTTTCATAATTAAGATTATTATAATTAATATTCGTTAATTACTGTCATTATAAGATATTGTGAAGATTATTGAATTTAAATTTTACGTGATGGGCTGACTTTGGCTAGGTAGCCAATAACCCTAGTAGATAACTCAATGGCTTCAAAGTTGAACGTTTGCCATAAGGTTTAAAAGTTGTACGTTTAATTATTAGTATGATCTTGGTTGCATATTACTAAGAAGTTCCATAATAGCAAATCAAAATCATTCTATGATATGAAACCCTTCAGTTTATCAATCAAACCAAAATAGAATGTAAATTAACATGACATAAAAGCATCAAATATGTTATGTGGTAATTTTATTGAAAATATACAACTTTATCAATTCAAGTCAATCAGCATTATGTTTTCAAGTTTAATTTAACTATCAAATCAAGAAAAAAGAATTTCATTGTAATAAGTTTTATTTTGAGAACAGAAAAAAATTCACACTAACATTTTAATTAACTATACCGATGAAATGAATTACAAGTTCTGGATTCTGTTGAAAGTCAACATACCAAGAAACATACTTATGGAGATTATCTTTAATGTAATAGTTAAGTTCATGAGTCAATGAAATCTAGACCAGCATGGAAAAATTTGTAGCACTGGACGGCCGTTACATCCTAGTATAGGATTGATTAAAGTTAGACATTAACATTGTTGGGTGATGGTTCAGTGTTCTAGAAGTGAAACGTTTGTGCACGAGACTGATAGGTCCTGGGTTCGGATCTCGCGAGTCGGGATCGTGGATGCGCACTGCTGAAGGAGTCCATTACTAGGACGAAACGGCCGTCCAATGCTCTTAGGTTTCCCATGGTAGTCTAGTTTAGATCGACCCAATAATTAAACTTTAGATATTAAATATTAACCTTAAGAAGTTTAATGAAAAACATTAGAATGACTAATGATATTATATACAGAAAAAATACTGAGAAGTATTCAGATGATTGTCTTTAACACAGAGTAACATCAATGATTTATTTTATGGGATTTAATGTAGAAATAGGCTAAACGTTTGATGAAAATACTGGTTATTTAAAATTAACTGATTACTGAGTAGTGACTTATGTCATGCTTTTCTAGTTTACTGGTATTAATCGACTACCATTGAGCAAGTTGTTATGTGAGCGCTAATCATAGTGACTAGACTTTTACTGCACCATGTTGAGGTCTTAGTTGATTAGACAGACCAGAGAAAATTATGGGCCTGGATTTCGCACCAGCTGGCATTTTACAGTAAGACACATCTGTGTTCTTGAGGGACTCGTACTCACATAGCAACTTGATCGACAGAATTCGATTGGCACTAAAAGATCCGATAAACGTGAAAATGGTCACTGCTCATTGGCATATTAATTATAAGTATCTCTGAGTTCTACAGAAAGTAAGTAGCTACGCAAAAGGCTCAGTGGTGACGTTTCGGGTTATAAAGCTGAATGGCGCGGGAATAGATCTATGAGGGAATATCATTCTCTTTGAGATTATAGGGAAACTTTTCTGATGAGGACTGAACAGGATGAAACCTAGATCTAAGGCTTCCTATCGATTAGCTCCAATTCAATTAATAACTATATGCTACATAAGGACCCACACTTTTCTCGCTGATCGTTTAATTGATTTTTCATAGTTAATAATCTCTGAGTAATTAATTACACACTACTTTCTCATATGTTTTTAATTTTCATATTGTCACTGTTAAGATTTATGCACATGGACATAATAGATCAATTGGACGGATAATATGTCGTCGAGATCAAGAAAATGATAGTTTTCGTGTTGACTTCCCTTTAGACTTGGATTATCGTATGAAACTTTTGCTTATTTGTGCTGCAATATTTTTGGTAAGCTATTTATTTATAATGTTTCTTTTATTTTATATTATATAATAATTCATAGTGTACATCTAAACATGAAAATCTTAGGTATTATGTAATGAATATTCTACAGTTAGTCAATGATAATTTACTGTTTGGTGCAAAATTTCAATGTTTCAATTAGTTTCTATGGTATTTGTAAGTTATCATTTGCCATTGTGCAAAAAAACTAGTGACTGATCGATTACCCGGTAAGAAATGTGGAATGAAAAGAAAATTATTAACATTCTTCTTGTCCTGATATGTATACATACATCAATTCATATAATATTCAATCATAATTTAATATGATTGTTTGAGATAAAGGTTAGTCAATAAAACATGAATACGGGTTTTCTAGAAGCAGTCAACAGAATTATAGTTCACTTTTAAATTAACATCTTATAGTTGAGAAGAAAGCTAAAGTGTTAGTAAATTTTGTACATTTCTTAAAGGTGTAAAGTTTTTAGTGATAAGTCTTATAATTAAGTGCTAGATTTGGTTCCTATGCTCTTCTAGTAACCCCCAAGCTAGATCTATACAGCGACTTGAACATGAGAGAAAACGCGCGAAATGTGGAAGAAACGCTTAACTCCAAAGGTTCATTTATGTACAGAAAATCTAGGGTATTAAAGTATTTTAGATAGCTTTGGGTTATGTTAATGGAAAGTATACTAACCTGCCAATCTAATCTTTGAAAACTAATATCTTATTTGTTCATTGATTCAATCAAATAAATAAAAGTATCAGTTACATCACTGAATTTACCAACAATCATTATGAGATTGGTGAAATTCTAAAATTAAATACTAGCTTCTCGTATATATATATATATGGATAAGGGTTAACATTAGAATGCATTACGTGCGTTTTGTCCTTCTTGAGATTTGTTAGAAATCTCAAATGAATCTTTCTACAATTATACTGTTGTATAGTTAGAATGTAGCATATGAAAATTCAAGATTGATGATTTCATTTATTTAGATTATGTGTTAAATCAACTTTTCAAATTTTTTGGATTGTTTGACATTTAATAACTATGTCAATCTAGAGATATTCGATGGGTTTTGTGGAGATTGTAGTAATTTCAATGGTTAAGATCATGAGTCAGATATTAATCAACATATGCTCACTAGTGACTGACTTCACGAGGTATATCCTGGAGTTCTAGTGAGAAGCAGTGACCGGTGGAGTTCAACCAGGTCTGTTGTGAGATAGTAACTAACTGAAGACAATGGTGGATGTGTCGCTCAATTTCGTGGATTAGTTGAAGTTAGACATTAACACCGTTGGATGCCGGCTCAGTGGTCTAGTGGTTAAGTGCTCGCGTGCGAAACCAGTAGGTCCTGGGTTCGAATCTCGCACGAGGCGAGGTCGTGGGTGCACACTACTGAGGAGTCCCACAATAGGATGAGACGGCCGTTCAGTGCTTCCAGGTTTTTCATGGTGGTCTAGCTTCAACTGACTCATGATCTTAACTAGAGATATTCATTAGCGATATGATGAATACATGAATACCAGCTATATCTTCCCAAAGGGGGTGCAGGTAGATTAAGATGATGAGTCCCAAATAGGACGTAATGGACGTTCTGAATTTCATTGCTAAGATACCATCTATTCTTCATTAGTTTCCACTTTTATATATCACTTCCTTATTTTAAATCTTGTTCATTCAGTTACAACTTTAAAGATATATGTTGAAATGAATGTTTTAAATGTTAACAAAAACTAAACTCTTTAAAACAAATGACTAAAACCAATTCGGGTAATTAGCTCATTTTGTTGAAAATGTAACTTGTCAAAAAAAGATAATCAAAGAAAACTGGAATGCAATCTTTAGTCAGTGCAAGAATTTATTTCATTTGGGAACTATTGCACAATTACTGATTTTGATCAAAATGGGGGTTTTGTAAAGATTCATGGGCCGATATAAGCTAAACCACCACTGCAATCCTAGAAGCACTAGACGGCCGTTTTGTCCTAGCATGGAACTCCTCAGAAGTGCACATTCACGATCCCGCATGCAGGGCTCGAGCTCAGGACCTTCAGTCTCGCACGCGAACGCTGGCATATAACGGTGTTAATGTCTAACTTTAATCGATCCATGATCTTGCGCAACCATTCATCCATTGAACTCTACTGGCCAGAACTTCTCACTAAAACTCGAGGAAGTTCATCTTGAATCTAGTCACAAGTGAGCCCGTGATAATCTGTTGCTTCCAGGTTTTCAATGGTGGTCTAGCTTAGATCAACTCATGAATTCAACCATTAAAATTATTGATTTGTCAAGTGGTTCGATAATAATGATGATAGTAATAATAATAAAATCATTTTCTATCATAGTACTAAAGTGGATATGTATGGATCTCAAGGATACCATGATTATTTACAATGTTGTAAGTTTACTTAGTAGTTAAATAACAATGAACTTGAAGACGTTAATCTCTGTTTAGTGCCAATAGTGTAATGAAATTCGACTTATTAGATAGTACAAATCGTCTCTTATTTATTTAGTCTAATGTAAATGAGGGTAACATAACTCTAACAGATGATATATTTCATTAAAATGTCACATGCAACTCTGACAAACATGGTGGATTAACCAATGCGAACATGATAAGATTACAACGATTATGGTTCAGGTTCTTGATACGACTCATTAACAGCTGAGTTATAAGACCCAATCACAGAATAAGATCTCATTTTCACTCTAAATATCTCATGTTCCACCTGAATAAATAAATCCAACTTAGATTATCTGCAACTTTTTAAGTATTCAGTACGTTTGTTCAGGCAACATGAATTATTCTTAACTATCTTTTATGAATGTGTCATCTTGGCGCAACCGGAAATATCGGATTAAAAACCCCAATATGATAGAACGTAAGGCTTGAAATGAAATTTGTACTGAAGATCATACCAACAGACAGCATTTACTTGATTATTGAAAGTATGATCAAACATGCTGAAAGCTACACACATACTGAACACTGAAAACTTTGCAGATAATTTTTTCTATGAATCATAGATGACTTAATTAATTTGCCTTAATTATCTTATTCGAAAACAACCTTAATCAGTCATCAAAACCAGATTGTTTCATTCGGTATAATTTTTAATAATAAATCACTTATGTTATCTATTTAGTTATATATGATAGAGATTGTAAGAAAACACTGATTGAACATTCAGTATAATAAGATGAAAATAACTTTACGATACTCACCGCTTGACCGTCTCTTACTAGAACGTAACAGCTGTCAAGTTCTTCCTGATTTGCAATAGTACCTGACCTTATAAATCTATGACGAATACAATCTACATATTTTAGAATTTCTTATAGCAACGTACTTGATATTTAGATTTATAACATGATTCTAGATAAATACTACTACATTTTAGGTAGGTCCAAGGATAGAATACAAAGTATGTTTGAATTCCACACTTGGCATGGCTTCTTTTCTTGTAAAGTTAAATATTCAATGGTTTTTAATTGGATAGATCTCAACGTGGTGCTTACTAAACCTTTGGATTAAATTAAGTATTACGTTCTATATATTGCTATAGAAAACATGCCAATTCACTGGTTGTTACCGAAAAAATTGTCATTGATAAAGAACAGAAATATAAACTTAATTTGTTTGAAATGATGTGGTTCATAAATAATTTTTGGAGGAGATTTTTCATAAAGATTATAAGAATGTAAAGCAGAAGGTAGGAACCATCAATTCTTAGTATCTGGATTAGTGCATCCTATCGATGTATGAATAGGGTTATTTTTAGTGGTTTGCCATTATATAAGTGCTATGATATTTAATGATCTATTGTTTTGGATCGATATTATTTTAATTAATTAAATGAACTTTGGAAATCGTAAAGGTAAAATATCTTCAAAAAGGCAAGTTCTTAGTAAGTTTCATCGGACATTTAATTTTCCTATAATCTCACTAGTGAGATTGGATATAATCATAACGGTAAATATTTCTAGGCAACTTCAAAGTAGATGTAACCAATGATGCAGCGAACAAATAATACTACTGAGTTTGTTTTGCAGATAGAGTGCGACGAATTACTCCATAATTTCGCAAATTTACTACTACAGTAATCCATATGGAGAAAAGATTTAAAGTGAGATAGTTTCACATTCGAACTAACTGGTTGTTCCCGTCTATCAGATTTTTGCAGTGGATTTAAAAGATAGATCATTTAGGATTTTGAGGAAACATTTATTTTTTAAGTTTTATCACCAAGTAATCTCATGTAAATGATGAATTAATGAAATTATGGAGTAAGAGGAAAGAAAAGACAGTTTGATTTCATTTGCAAAAAATCAATCAATGCTACCGAAAATAGACCTTGTTAAGATACATTGATTGTTATTTCTACTATATATATATATATATATATATATATATATATATATATATATATAACACCTATTAATTAATTTATTCATTCACTCATTTATTGCATAACTATCATGACTATAACAGAATACAAAGTAGTTTCTAACACAATTTATGGAAATTCTGGCAGTACAATGAATTATCAGTAAAGAAAATACAAACAAAAAAGGATAATAATATTTATAATTATTAACTATATGTTCTGTAAGTCGGCCATGATAGCAAATGGGGAAAGGATTGTGAGTGTGTGTGTGTGTACGTATTCAATAGTTTAACATTAGTTTTAATTGTGAGTGTTACATTCATATGTACGTGTGTGGGTGTCTGCGAGTGTGTGTGTGTGTGTATGTATATGCTTCTAAACGTCTAACATTTCCTCTACTTTTCCATTTATTTAATACCTGTACTATCACTTTTTTTGTCAATTCGCAGACAAATAACCCTGTTTTACACTCTTTTCAATATTCAATAATCTTTTATTTAGTTGTTTGTTCGTTTGAAGTTAAATTAACCTTGAAGTTGTGGATGTTTTTCTAATCTCTAGTTTTATATTACTTATTAATATCATAAAACTATGATGGAACAAGATAAACATATACCCTTAAAGAGTGAATCTATTCATAAATCTTAAAAGATAATAGAGGTTTGGTATCATATTACAAAGAATGATTATATAATATATGAATATCTACTAAGATGATGTAATGAAAAAATAGTGAAATTGATTATTGAAATAAAATTATCGTCAAGGGGATCGTCTAGACAAATCCAAATTTTATGATGATGACTAGTTTTTTTTTGTTGTCGTTGTTGTTGCAAATACTCTATTATCAGAAGGGATTTTGTGAATATTATAGTAATTTTAATAGTTGAGATCATGAGTTAATTGAAGAGTTCACGCACGATACCGATAGGTCCTGGGTTGGAATCTTGCGAGGCAGGAACGTGGTTGCTTATTGTTGATAAGTGTCACAATAGGACGAAACGGACATTCAGTGCTTTCAGGTTTTCCATGGTGATCTAGTTTCGGTTGACTCATGATCTCAACTATTTAAATATTCTATTTTAAAAGTTGACAGTATCCTATACCATGTGAAACAACAAATAATCATGATACAAACTTTTAATCATGTGATGCATTTACTAAAAACACAGCTTAAATAGGATAGATTACGCAGCTTTTCAATATTAGTTATACATCAATATCATTTTGGTGTTTTAAAAATTTACACTATTACTATTAAGAGTTTATACTATCCCCTTGTTAATATTCTAAACTGAATGTTGGTCATTCTGTATAGATATAAACTTATCTTGTGTAGATCACCTCATGATAACCATTTTGTCACAAGTTTTATAAAATAAATAGAACATGGCTACTAGTATAGTGTAGTGAGAGGGTGCTGTGTTTGAAGCGATCATGAGTTCACCTAGTCTGAGAGCGGAACAAAGACTCTGTGACCAAAGACCAATAAGCCAGTTATTCTAATGCGTCCCAGCACCGCTAACTAGAGAAAGAAGTCGAAGTTCGAAATGGGGAATCGTATTCTGTAAGCAACCAGAAGCACGAGAAATTACAACAGGCAAAAATCAAACATATTTACAGCAACAAGTTGTCCTTGGGAAACGTTACAAAACAGCATACTAAAAGATACAACGAACCAATAGCGTGTAAGATCCTCCCAAGTGGGAAATAAGACGTGAAGTTGAAAATGAGAGCTTTTAGCGCGAAAACAAGAGATTCAAATTTTTAAGATAAAATTACAAAAATAAGGTATTTACCAAGTGAGTTCTGGGGATCTAACATCCTCAACAGAGAGTTTCGTTCTACCCGAGACTCATTAACTGGATGCACTTGAATCGGAGAACTGATTCTCACGTTGAAACTCAAACCCATCACTTCACGCTTTAAACAGTAAAGGGTTATCTCGTTAGCTACTAGGTCAATTTAGTTACCAACTTATTCAGCGAGTATAAAAATTGTTTATTGTGTTTTGAGTACATTTGAAAAAGGAATATTATTTGAATGAATGATTCATAAGGAATCGCTCAAATTCTGAAAACCATTTTCATCATGAATTAATGCGAATTGGAGGATCGTTAAACATCCTAAGACACCATAGATTTATTTTATTTTTGTTTGAAACTCAATAATAATACACTGGTAGCGAGTCCTCATACTTCTGAATTCATCCTTTGACTGAATTGTGAGTGTACACTGTTAATAGTAAATTCTGTATTAAAGCAAAACAGGTATCAAGCTTTTTATGATTTTCTAGTGTTTGGCTATCGAAATCCAGCTATTATAAACCATAGAATTTGAATCTACAGAAAATCCATTCAGTCAGTCAGTAACAAACTTCGTACGTACGTACATCGATTCGAGTTGCTATACCACATCAGCACAGAGATGCAGTTGTTGATTCATATCCCGAAGTGGTAGAGGTAGTAAGAGTATAAGCAGTAATCGTAAAGATTAGGGTTTGAAGATGCTATTCAAGGAGTATAATCCAGTGAAATGAATTGGTAAACAGAAAAAAGAGACAAGGAGTATTCAGGAGATTAGAATTTGGGAGAACATAAAGCGTAGATGCACCTGCGCCTTTTCAAACGATTTTGAGCCATGTCATTTTAAAAAAATCCATTACTTCTTCTAGTTCATTCCAAGTTATTCAACCATAATTTTTCATGATTCTTTCCAATACAACTCATATATCAGTTGATATCGATGTAAAAAACATCAGTCACATTGTACACTGATTTCTGTTGTCTTTTAAAATTAATAACATTTCCATTTTTAGAAAAATAAGGCGGGAACTCAAACATATTTGTTATATAACCAAGGTTTTCTTTTCAGCTTTTCTTGAAGTTATACACAGTTATACAATTTTAACCGGTATCAGTAGTATATACTATTTTTCCTATTTGTATTATGATTTTACATATAAACTAAAAGTTCCTATAAGTAATAACATCTAGTCATTGAATGATTTTGTTTTTAGTTACATTTTTTCTCAGTATTTTGGAATCAAAGATGGCTCAGTATCAACTTTGATTGAAACAACATAATTTCTTCATTTACCAATTGTATAATTTTGTATTATGATATTTAGTTGCAAAATAGATAGTGAGGTAGTGAGTGAGTGCCTAATCTAACAAAATGATTTGTTCTGATAGTGTTGAATAAATATTGAAATGTTTATAACCAGAGAGGGATTTTGTAGATATTATAGTTAAGCGATTTTGCATGAGACTGATAGGTCCTGAGTCCGAATCTCGCGAGTCTCATACTAGGACGAAACGGCCGTCCAATGCTTCTAGGTTTTCCATGGTAGTCTAGCTACAATTGACTCATGAATTGTATTATTCAATTTAAATGTTTATCAAAGCGATGATACAACTATGCAAGAGTTTACTGATTCTTACTTAGTTCATTATATTTATCCATCGAAGTTAGAGTACATAATTTTACACAGATTCTCTGTAGAATGTTTTCGAAGTCTTATTCGACTGTGGTGAAATGATAAAATAAACCACATCTTTTTTATCATATAACTTAAGTTAAAAACACCTCGACTGACATGGTCGTAAACTTACTACATGAGAGACAGCTGAATAAAATAGTGTAGTGAACGAGAACACAAGTAGGGACAAGCAAATGTATAAAATTACAGAACATCCTAGTAAAGTCTGTAGATCATACAATAAATACTTGATTCGCAAAATGTTAATTAATTGTCCCAAACTTGACTGTTCCCTTTGCAAATGTCACTCAATCGTCTCAGACTTCACTGTGCCTTCGTTTCCACAGCAATCATTCGCTGTTCTCCATCCAATTTCTTCAATCTTAACCTTCTGCCAGGTATTTCACCTTCGATTGATGATACATACTACTTATATCTGTCGACATCAGTAGCACACAACGCATTATTACTGCTCTCAAATACAATTTAAGATGAAATGTGAAGATCTGAAAAGAAAGACACATGAAATCTTTAGGAAGTTAGTTTTATTCAGAACTATAGATTTCATTACGCTCAGGAGTTTTCAGCACGAATTTGCCCGATAATACAATAAACTTCTATGAAATATACATTGAAAGTTTAATTAATGGGAAATTATATTCTATATATGTTGTTTGCAGTAGGTAACATCTATCACTTACCTTGAATGGAGAAAATTCTCTAACAGTTCAAGTGTTACACCTTTTTTAATGTATTCGATACCGAATGTATGAGTTCAAATATATTCTTTCCTCACTTTCATCAAAAGGGTAGATAAGGAAGAGAATATGTGAAAAGTGCAACGTTTTGGCTTGAGATTACCAATTATTTAGCACAGCGATTAGTTGTAAATCTTTCGTAATGCCAAATTGAGCACTCACAGTCAACTTTCTCTAATTATTCGGTTTAGATCAATGTAAAGGATTAAGATTTATTGTAATATTTGCATAGTTGAGAAATAATTGGCTTATAAGGTTTAGGGATATCACCTTTGTAAATGTCATAAAATGAATACTAAGCGTAATAAGTGTAGTTTACATGATACTATGAATCATTACACTAAAACCTTATAAAATATATTTTAGAAATTAATTGTATTAATGAAATTGCGTCTTCCGTAAATTCATATCTATCTGGGTTTTTTTTTGTTTGTTATCACGGTCCATTTGGTCTTCCCTAATAAAACACTTACATATCTGTTGGATATCGTTTATATACTAATTTCAAAATGTAATAAGTTGAGCTGATACATTTTCATATATAATTTCATATTTAATTTTTGATACATACTAATATTGCTTCACTTCGTATTGTTTACTTGAATCTTCCGATTGATGTTTAGGACTAAAACTGATCAAGCTCTTATTGGCATATGTGTATTGCCTCCATATTGCCTTAATTCACAAGCATTCTAAGCGAAGATGGATAGTGGCTAGCAGTGGAATCAAGGACGCGCATTTCGTCTCAGCAGCTAAGTGGATAACCCGATGGAGTTTGAAGCAAACGGTAACTGGGTTGGAGTCCCAAAGTGAACATCAACTGTGAGATGCCGGTAAATCCAGCTGACAAGTCCCAAATAAAATGAAACGCGCGTCCTGGATCCCACTGCTAACCACTATCCATCTTTGCTTATATTGCTTATCTTAAAAAAAGGCATGTGAACCTAGTAACTAAACTGATTATTACCATTAGTATTCACTA